ACCATTTATTTTGGATGTGGGGAAAAAAATCTTTCATTTCAAATTTCTGCAAATGGCTACAGCATTAGACCGATCCACTCAGAACTGAGATTTTTTGGTACAAGTGATTTTGGTTCTTTCCCCTTTTCTAGCTCAGCATAAGTTACACTGAAAAGGGAACACAACTCTTGAAAGTTGTCTTGAATTCAATCATGAGGTAAGCGTGTGAGGTTTTGAGATCAGTTCTGGCATCTGCGAATGATAAAGGAAATATTGTAGAATAATAAAAGTGTGTTTTGTGGCAATAATATTGTATTTTTCAATGATTTGTTCAATCTAGAAATGAGGGGGCGGGCAGGTGGAAGGACAAATATGTTTGTTTTAAATCCTCTGACGTGTCTTTTATGCTGGATGATGGCCGCCCTCCAGACAGAAGTCCTCACTGGCTTTTGCCAAAGCCCACTGAAGTCAGTGGGAGTTCTTCTGGTGAGTTCAGTGGGCCTTGGTTCAGGTTCCTACCTGCTGAGATGCTACTGTTTGATTCCGGGTGGTGTGGGATTTCCCAGCACAGCATCCCTTTCCTCTGTAGAAAGTCAGCCTGGTTCAGGGATGAATCACATTGGGAATGAAATGAGATGAAATATCTCTTGACTTTTCCAGTTTTTCTCTCTTTATTTTGAAGTGGATGAACAAGTATATTTTTGACTCATCATACTTGTAAAGAAAGCTGTGCCTGGAGGCGGTTGACTTGTATTATTTTTTTGTGATAGTCGCATCCAGACACCCAAACCAAGATGAGAGACCTGGCCCCCATTTTATTAGGCACAGTATCGGCACACAGCAAGACATGGTCCCAGACCTGAAGAGTTTACAATCTAAATAGAAAAAGATGGAGAACTAAACTAAACTATCGGTCCAAGGTCCCATAGGGAGGAATTAAACTCTCATTTCCTGAATCCCACTCCAATGCTTTAACTGCAAGACCATCCTTCCTGAGTGGCAGGGTCATGCACTCTGACCAGTTAGGTGGCTATCAGGTGCATGATCATTACGAAACAGTCTCTTTAAAGCATTAGCAGGTGTAAAAGCAGGGAACTATTAAATAAGAGCAGGCAGTTGGTATTATCTCTGTCTGTGGCATTAATGAGACCGTTACTGGAATACCATGTCTAGGTCTGGTGTTCACACTTCAAAAAGAAGTTGACAAAAGGTTCAGTAGAGAGCTCCAAGAAACATTCAAGGACTGGAAAACATCCCTTCTACTGAGAAACTTAAGAAGCTCAATCTATTTAGTTTATCCGAGAGAAATTTTAATGGTGACTTGATCACCGTCTGCAAGTATCCCTATGAGGAATAAATTTCTGATGGTGACTTCTCTTTGGTCTAGGAGAAAAGGGCAGTACAAGATCCAATTGATGGAAGATGAAGCTAGACAAATTCAGACTAGAAATGAGGTGCCATTTTTAAATAGTGAGGGTAATTAACTATTGGAATAGCTTACCAAGGGTTTTCCCTATCACTTGACATCTTTAAATCAAGACTGGATGTTTTTCTGAACGTTATCTGATAAACATCGGGTGACACTCTATAACTTGGGGGAGCCCCTGTAGCTCCATATTCCTCATTTATATATAATTGTGATCTGGCATATAAAGCATGCCTTGTAAGGTATATGGGGAAAGGTTATGATCTGGGGAAGGTCATTTCTCTATCTAAATATGAATATCTTTAGTGCATATGAAGTTATGAGATGGTGTTGTATGGTTGTCAGTAAAACATTCATTTAACTGTTTATCTATACCAGTGAGTTTGCCTGAAGTGACTGGTAAATGTGCTCAGGTTTTACAAAGCTTGGTGTAGATCCACTTTCCATTGATGATGTGGAGAACCCATTAATAAATTTTCACTGCTCGTCTTGAGCAGTGCAAGATGGTATATTCCTGATGTGCAAGGCTGGTATCTGGGGGGATTTGGCTGGTACCTTTCTCTGTGTGATTCATGAGTGGCTCTGGGAGCATTCATGCAATCAGCTGGGTGTGGGGCTCCACATGCAGTTGTGATGAGTGATCACAACACCTGGAGGGGTTGCTGCTTGTTACTAGCAAAGCATTGTGAGAGACAGCCCAGGCTGGAGAGTTGTGGGGGCACAATGGTCCCACAGTCCCAGGCTGCACCCCGGGGATCCCATCACAGTGGTGCAGAAAGAGGGTGAAATACACAGCTTGTTGTAATGAGCAAGATTTGCACTGCATACACCGGTCACTTGGGAGAGGATGCCCAGGACCAAATGGCTGAGTCAGCATCTGTGCACTCAGCCCATGGCCCAGGTTTTGAGAGGGAGCTGTGTAACCGACCTCCTGGAGGGGAGCAGTCCCACAGCTGACTTCTCAGGGACAGAGAAAGGGGTGGCGGAGGGGACTCCAATCCAGATCCCAGTTTTTCAGGATGCTATTTCTGATAAGTTTTTGGAAAGTAACGGTGTCTCTTTACATCAAGATGCAGCTCCAATGCCTGTGATAACAGAGGAGTTGAGACCAGGAAATTTCCAGGTGGTAGTTTGTGAGAACTGAAATGACCTGGCTGATGTGGGGGAGCCGGGTTTTCCTCCAGGCTGGTGAGACACAGAGAGCAGTGGTGGGAAAGATGCTAGGAAAAGGTGCTTCTGATCCAAGAGTAGACACTCTTAGCCCAGAGAGCACAGACCACAGCCCTCGAGGAAAAGGGGGCAGGGAAGGACTCAGTGCGGGGGGGGGGGAGGGAAGGAAACACAGGGTAACCCCCAAAAGGGAGCTGGATTTTTTGCATATGTAGAGTCCTGGGGTTGGGAGACTGCTCCCCAAAGGGCCAGCAACTTGCACAGCCATTGGTGAGCAAATGTAACCTGAATCAGAAAGTAACAAGAAGTTGCCCTGGAGTGGTAGTTTGAGCACACAACACATATCCCAGGAGAAATGAGAGAATATTTATGCACATATATTGTTCATCATGTATTTTTTTATTTGTCAAAGACTTAAAACAAAAATGCCCTGAAAATATTAAAGTGCTTGATTTACAGATCCTCAAACTATTCCAGTTTATACCATCTCCGGATCTAACCCCACAACTTCTGATTACAAGAGATCTTCATCTTTTGCAGGAAATCAGATGAGGGTACGTTTGTGTCCGGATGTATTTTCTGTTGGCTGAGTTGTTCGCTGCACTTGCATTTGCTGTTTTGTTGTGGATTGTGTTTCTACTCATCTGTTAAGGCATCTAAAGCTGGCACAGATGTCTTTTAGGTCTTTAAAGTCTAAAGACAATGAAAAATGTATGGGAGGCACAGGAAACTGCAGTGGAAAAAGCCTAAACTAGGGTGAGGATGTTCAGAGGAGGGTAAGAGAGTGAGGCATAAGGATATTCCCATGGATGAGGTGCTTGGTAGACCAGGATTCAACTACTTGTTCTGCCAAAGACTTCCTGAGTTATCTTCACAACTTGCTTTATCTCATTGTGCCTCAGTTTCCCAATTGTGAATTGGGGACGGTCGTAATTCCTGACCTCACAGGGGTGTAGTGAGGCTAAACACATTGAAGGTTGTGAGCTGTGCAGTTGTCATGCTACTGAGGAGCAGGTGAATGCCATGGATAGGTGGATGCCCAGCTCTCCCTTAATTTCAAATGGATCAGTACATCTAACTTTCATATATTCTTTTGAAAAACCTACATGAGATGCTTCAAACAGCAGCTCCATGTTGGCCTAAATGCCCTGGATTTTACCTAGGGTTTATACACAAAGCAGACCTGGGTTTGGACAGAGTTTGGCTTATTAGTTAATGTAAACACTTTATTTTTTAAAAGATCACCTCCGGTTTAATTTGCTGGTCATTCTGCAGTTCCATAGGCCCTTCAGTCCCTAGTTATCCAGCACTGGGTAATGTGATGTGCCATTCCACAGTGAGTCAAAGGTCCAGCCATTTCTTACACTGCCTCACCTGTGAAGTCGTGAAAATCCATCTTTTCCCTATAAGGGTTTGTACACATGATAGCTTTTGTCTTCAGACTGACTGGAACAAGGGGGCTATTGAGTAGCTAGATATCTGGCTTCCTTTAATTGCAAACATGAAAACCGCAGGGACAAACAGGGAGGACAGGTTTTTACATATTTGGACCATTGCATCTCTCATGTTGCGTTTTTGCACGCTAGGTTGCTGTGCGAGCATATTGAGCACTGATCCTAGGGGAGCTGAAAACCTAACCTCCATTGAGGTCAGCCAGGAAGGATGGATGTGCCCTTTGCAGGATCTAGACTGTCAGGACAGCATAATCCACAGAAAAACAGCACAGAGCTCATTGTAACCCAGGCTCTCACAGTGTGGCTGTTTGTCATGCCTCTGTTGGCCAGAACATGAGCAGAGCTTTATGAGACAGCTGCAGCCTTCAAGCTGACGATCCTGGTTATTTTGCTTAAACAACACAGGCCTGTGCTTTGAGTCTCTGCTTTTAATATTCTGGTTTGGTGCATTGAAAAATCCCATATTTAACATTTCATTAAAAAAAGGAGGGTGTGTTTTTCCCCCTCTTAGTTCACATAAATGTATAATTGTTAGTTGCCTTGAAAATATCTTGTATCAGGGAGTTCAGAAAGTTCAAATACATGGAATACAACCTTTCATCCCTTTGCCCTCTTTTAACTGTCAATAGCAGGTTTCATCGTTTTCTTAAAGGGCCTGCTCCAAAGTGCATGTAGTCAATGGAAAAACTACCTTTGGCTTCCATCAGTATTGGTTCAGACCCTCATAGAGGGAGTGGGAACACTCAATCCCAAGGAAGTAGGAAAATATGAATGTTTTTCTATGCAAAATTGCAAGACAAAATTAAAAACAAACAATCAAAAATAATTTTCATTCAAATTTTCCATGGAAAATTTCAGCTGTTTGTCCCCCCAAAATAATAATTTAATGAATTGGGAATGTTGCCATGGTCTCTAATGGGAGCTGTACTTCAAGTTCCTCATGTTCCCATTCTCTTCCATAGGCAGGGCTCACTGCTTGGACTACATCTTCCATGGTGCACAATTCACAGTCAAAATACTTCTGATTTCAGACAAAATATATCAGATTACGGCTGAACTATTTTATGTTATTTCCCCCTGAAAACATGGAATTTTCCATGGGAAATGGAATAAAATAAAACCCCATTTTCCAATTAGCTTTACACATTACTCCCCTATTAAATATTCTCTTTCGTATCTCATTTCTGTGACAAGGGATAACACCAACCTTTACTGTACATCAGAGGAGCCATGGGAGATATTTTGAGATAACCATTGTTCCGTCCCCTCATTTGCCTCTTCTTTGGTCGCAGAGAGAATCTACAGGATAAATGGCACTGGGGAATTATACCACAGTGACTGGCTTCATCCTCCAGGGAATAACAGAAAATCCAAAGCTGCAAATCATCCTCTTCATGACATTCTCCTTCATCTATTTCTGCACCCTGGTGGGGAATCTAGGGATGATCATGTTAATCCGTGTTGATTCCCGACTCCACACCTCCATGTATTTTTTCCTCAGCAGCTTGTCTCTCTTAGATATTGGCTACTCCTCTGTGATTGCCCCAAAGACACTGGTCATCTTTTCTACAGAGACTAAAGACATTTCTTTTGCAGGGTGTGTGGTTCAGTTTTTCTTCCTCTCTCTTTGTGCCAACACCGAGCTTTGCCTCCTGGCAGTGATGGCCTACGATCGCTTTGTAGCCATCTGCAAACCATTGCTTTATCATGTAGTTATGTCCAGGAGAGTCTGCATCCAGTTGGTGGTGGGCTCTTATCTCTATGCTTTTGCCAGTGCAATCACCCACACTAGTTCTTTGTTTTCTCTGTCCTTCTGCCACTTCAATGTCCTTGATCATTTCTTCTGTGACATCCCTCCTCTCCAAAAGATCTCATGCTCCAACACTCGCATCGATGAGCTGGTGCATTTCACCTTTGCAGCTATAGCAACCATTGTAACCATTGTGATCATCCTTGTCTCCTACACATATATCATCTTTGCCATCCTGAGGATCCGCTCTTCTGAGGGCAGGCGCAAAGCCTTCAACACCTGCGCCTCCCACCTGACGGTCGTTGCTCTGCTGTATGGGACTCTCTTCTTTATGTATCTGCGCCCCAGCTCCAGTAACTCAGCAGATCAGGATAAAGTGGTGGCTGTGTTCTATACCCTGGTGATCCCCATGCTGAACCCCCTGATCTACAGCCTGAGGAACAAGGAGGTGAAGGACGCCTTGAGGAGAACAATATATCAGAAAATTATTCCTCGCTGTATGTAAATATGGGGACTTTTTTACTGATCAGTATTGGAGCACAAGCATGAGCTAGTTCTGAGTCATTAAGTCAACATGCAGAAATATCCTTCATTATTTGATGTACAGGAGAAGACAATAAAGGAATGGAAACTTGAGCCAGATAATGCAGGAAGGCGTAATTTCACTTGATAACAATGTCCAGTAACAGTGTTACAGCTTTTCCATTATGCATTGTTATGTGATGTCTGCAAGGATAAGTATCTTCCTCATTTGTTTCATTTGCTACCAAACTGTGTCAGCTAGTGTATCAAGAGACACAAAGAGATGATATCAAGAATGTAATTTTTTGGTTTATCACCTCAGTACCCACATCCCACACCAACCATCACTTTACAAAGAAATAAAGTACAGTGTATATGTGGAGGTATATTTGTAGATAGACTGACAGATTGATGGTTATGCACAGGACTGGATGGGTAGCTAGACAGATCGATGTGTGGATAGACAGACAGACAAACATCATTGTACACACACACATGCAAGAGGAAGGATGACGCATTGGCCAACCTAAGACTAATGAGGTCTGAGTTCAAGTTCCTGCCATGTGACCTTGCTTAGGTCACTGAAAAACAATTTTTTTCAATGTGGGTTTGGTGCCTAAATTCCTTTAAGAATCTTGGTCGCAGGGCTTGTCTACACGTGAAATGCTATGGAGGCACCGCTGTATTCCTGAAGTGCTACAGTGTAAGCACTACCTATGCTTACGGGAGGGGTTTTCCGTTGGTGCAGATAATCAGTCTCCCCGCGAGGCGATAGCTAGGTCAACAGAAGAATTCTTCCTTGACCAAGCACTGTCTACACTGGGGGTTGGGTCGGTACAGCTATATCCCTCAGGGGAGTGGATTTTTCTAATTAAAATTCCTAGTGTATAACAGGCCTTAGTCTCTCTGGGCCTGACTTCCCCAGCTGTAAAATGGGAATAAGAGCACGTCCCTATCTCACAGATGGGTAAGTACATTGAAGATTGTGAGATGTGCGGCTACTGAAGGAGCAATAAGAGTAGATAAGATCACGTATTACACCAAAGTAGCCACCTAGCTGTATACTTACCGGTCTACATTTGAAAAGCGAGTACTGATTTTGGATGCTTCCATTTTTCAGTTCCCAACCTGAGACCACTTCCCAGGACTGGGTTATCAGACAGCACTGAGCACCTGCCCTCTAAAACCTTTCTAAGAGGTCTCAGCTTGGGCACCCAAAAATTGAAACACCCAATACTATAGCAGAATGAGAACTCAGCTATAGTTAAGACCAGCCTTCTGTTTAAAACTTGACTGTTCTAAGTGCTCTAAAAGCTACACCACAGTTACTCAGATTGCCTCACAATTTGGTGTGCCTCATGGGGGTATGGGGCTCTGCTACAAACCCAAATTTGGGGCCATTTGATCACAGAGTTCCAGAGATACCCTAGCCCCAAAGAGCTTTTCTTAAAATTAACAGATTCTATACTTCTCCTTACCCAACATTAAATCTACAGACTGCTCTTGTCTCCTGCCTCACTATTGACAATACCCATGACAAGAAAAACCCGCTGCCCTGCTACTGACATAACCTACTCAATTTGGTATTGAAATGATGTAGCCTTAAGGGACACATGCACCTGTCAGGGATGGTCCAGATAATACTTGGTCCTGCCTCAGTGAAGGGGACTGGACTAGATGAACTATTGAGGTCCTATCCAGTGCTATATTTTTATGATTTATATCAGGAGTTCTCAACCTTTCCAGACTACTGGACCCCTTTCCAGAGGTGGATTTGGTCTTATGTACACCCAAGTTTCATGTCACTTAAAAACTACTTGCTTACAAAATCAGACATAAAAATACAAGTGTCGCAACACACTACTACTGAAAAATTGCTTACTTTCTCCTTTTTAATCATATAATTATAAAATAGATTGCAACCCTCCCATTGAGAAACACAGAGCAGTATAAAGAAGCCATTGCCTGTATATAATTTTAGTTTGTACTGACTTCGTTAGCACTTCTCATGTAGTCTGTTGTAAGACTAGGCAAATATCTAGATGAGTTGATGTACCCCTAGGGCTGCGCGTACCCCTGGTTGAGAACCATTGATTGACATGACTCCTTTCCTTCGATCACACACACTGGAGAACTGAGATCCATGTCTTGTCATATCTCAGTCACAGCGCTAGGATGCTTCTCAAACGAATCCCCAGATCTCCACATAGCACAATCACAGCACTTCCAAGCTGCTCCAACTTATTCCTCTGCCATTCCGTACATCTACCATACAGTACAGTCAATGCAGCTGGAGTGCAAGCAGATAATTCCCAGTGGTTATTACCAGCTCCAGTGGGCAGAGTTACGGTTGTGTGGGCATTTCCCTGAACTTTGTATTTCCTGGTATTCACAAGTTTGAGTTTTGCTGAATTCAACATTCTGGAATGGCACAAGCCATCATCGGGCAACCATAACTCTGTGTTAATGTAGGGTTTCTTTTGGCCATTTATTCACTAGTTAGTCTGGAAAATATTGCTGTAAAGTGTATGATTCTTATCTATCTGTTGCATGCCTTTATTTGGTTCTTGTCTAATACTGAGATTGTACGCTCCTTGGGGCAGGGAACATGTGATTCTGATTTAGTTTTGAAACACCTTGCACACTGCTGGCTGCTCTGAAAATAATAATAATAATAAACATAATAACAGTGTGATGCTAACATGTTAGCTTAATACACTGCTGGTCGGTGCTCAGATATTATGGTGATATTGATCTATACAGAATAGAATCAGAAATTGGAGCTTTATTTTGGGCCTCCTTCCACCCAAATGTGGAAGATCAATGATCCTTGTGGAAAAAAAACAGGAATAGAAATAGTGGGCATGTGAATAAAAATCTCTTCTCGCATCCCCGCTCCCAACAGAACAATATATCTGAGGGCAATTATTCTGTACCCAAAATGTCTGGCTGCACCATGAGTCTTAGTTACTTAATTGTGCGATTCTGTCATCAAGAGATCTGAAAACTCCCGGGAATTTGTCTTGGCTTTATAAGCTAGCAATAAACACTTCATCTTAAAACTCCGTCCTTTTACTAATGTAAATCCTTTGAAGTCTTTCAGTAAATGCCAGCTTTCATCAGCAGGTAGGTTTCACGGGGCTATATTTGAACCAAGCGGGAATAAATAATGGAGTAAACCACTGTATTTTCCTGAGCTAGAAGCATCTTCTTTTTAATGTAACCCTATTTTATCTTATTTATTGGTTAGTCAAAGTGAAATGTAGCTAGCAGGCCGGAAAGCTGAAATAATAGGAAGCAAATGGTGCAGAAATTATTCATGATGGACAAGATTCTGATAAATCTCTCTTGTTGGGAAGTAACCTAATCCTCATATTGCACCATTCATTTACATTGGTTAGTCATGGGATAAAGTATTAGGCAGCATTAGAGCTGGTTGGAGATTTTAAATTATAATTAATTTATATAATTTTTAATGATAATTAATTAAATTTTAAATTTTGTGGGAAATTTCATGCAGCTTCCCCATCACCATTGCAGTTTTTACAAAAAAACAAAAACAAAACAGCAGCGCCCCTCCTCTCTATGTAAATATTTTGGGTTTGAAAAAATGTTATTAAAATCTGTAGGGTTTTAGGTTCCAAATTTCACAACACATTGAAAATATCCCACCCCAAATATTTGGGGTTTGTTTTCCTTTTTTTTCCCCCCTGACACATCAGAGGAAGTTAGACTACACTGAAAATTTTCTGCAAAAATGCATTTTAAATAAATTCAACCACCTCCACTCAACATGGGTACCAATATATCACATTCTGGTCCTAAACAAAACAAAGGGCTACATAGATGACAAACAGTTTTACAGAAGAGTTAGGAAACCCCAAAGTTAAAGATACAGATGCCATCTTAATTCTTTCCCCTTCTGCAGATTCATTATAAGAGTTCAGATAGTTTTAAGTTCAATTGAAGTTTTGCCACTTGTCTTTAATAAGATCAGGATTTAGTGCAAAATATAGATATATATGTACCTGACATGAAAATTATCCATATATTTCTAACCAGTAAAGGAGCACTAAATGACAAACTCACTTTTCTGCAACACTGAAAAAAATGTCCATGTGGCTCCAGGTACAAAGTATGCAGTGTATAGCGTGGAGGTAGTGCCACAGATAAGGCTGAGTTTGCTTCCACTTAAGCAGAGATTCACTGTGGTGTGCTGAGATCACTGCCTTCCATGCTGATCTTATTAACTCCTTATTTC